ATCCCTAACATTCTGTGATTCTGTGAAATGACCCCTTGAAGTGCTGCTGTAGGGTAGAAATGGGTCGGGTTTTTGTGGGGGTTGGTTCTGGATAGGGGGGTGTTGGTTGGGTTGGGTTTTTTTTAGCTTCAAAAGCTGTTTTAAGGTGCCAGAAGTTTATTTGGAGAGGAGAAGAAGTCTTCACTATCCAACATTGTGTTTTCCACTGTTGCTTTCAAATAAATAATGAATGAATGCTTGTTAATCTCTTTGGCTGTGAACTGACATGTAAGTTCCAATTGTTATTGTTTGTTAATGGTTAATATTAATCTCCCTTTCCTACTTCTTAGTTTCTTCTTAGTTTATGATTGGCTATGCAAATACGATGTGTGTGCTAAAAACTGACGTTGCCTTTCTCCAAACGCTTTATGCTCCCTTTAGGAAAGAGGCTTTCACTGAGGCTCATGGCGCACGAAGAGGAGTACAAAAAGTAATGGTTATTGTGACTGATGGGGAATCCCATGACAACTACAGATTAAAAGAAGTGATTGATAATTGTGAAGATGAAAACATTCAGAGATTTGCTATTGCTGTAAGTGAAATTTAATGGGAAGATTCAGAATCTTAAAAGCATGTTTCATCTTCCAAGTGTAATTTTTGTTTAAAAGTTCATTTCACAGAGTCTTTATGGAAATATAGTCATTTCAGAGAGCAAAAAAAGAAAGCAGCTGAAAAAAAACATTAAAAATTAGCTTTCTGATTTTATAGCATATAAGAAAAAGCAGTCTATCTGTCTTCCTGGTGATGACAGGCGTGTGTGCATGTAAAGAAAAAAGGAGAAGGTGTTTGAGGAGCAGTATAAAATCAAATCCTTTTTGTTAAAAGCAATATTGAACAGAGCAGATTAGTTCAAATATCCTGAGCAATTTGCATAGACACATTACCTACTTTAAAAAAAAAATAAATGGAAACCATCAACAAAAAATGTGCTAGCATTCTAAAGCTGTCATTTTTGTTTTGAGCATACTTAGTAGCTGAATGAGAGGATGAACATGATGGAAGTTAATCCATATTGAGAAGTATGGAAATGTTAATGATATATTTGATGTGAACTCTCTTCTGTATTTCTGTATTCTGTACTCAAATCATCTGTTTTCTCTTGTTAATTTTGAAGATTTATTGGATTGATGTTTCTCTGTTCCTATCTTTCTTTGTAAAATGAGGTGGTATGGAACCATACAGCTTGAAGGAAGATGTTATATTTAAACAAAGACATAAAACAAAAGTTGAAACCAACAGTACACAAAATTTCAATGTTTTCCTTCATAAAGCTAGAGATCATTAAAGAAAAAGTCATCCTTGAAACTGCAATAATTTTAAGCAATAAAATCCCTGTTTAGACCAAATTGAATAGGTCCTGTGTCAAGGAATGCTAGAATATGGGATTTTGTTGTTTTATTTCCCTCTCAAAGCAAGTTAAGTGTATAGAGCACTTTTTTTTTTTAATGAAAAATACTTGTTGGTCTGGAAATTGGAGAATTCAGTTGTTTCATTCTGAGGCATCCTGAATTTTCACAGCAGTGGTGCCAAAACTGCAAACTAAATCTTGTACTGTGATGGAGTTGTTAATGCTGAAAGCAAGTGCTGTTGTATTTATAGGGCAAATCTGCACACATGAAAGAATTATTCTGTGCCTTTATAACTTGTCATTAACTGCTCATGTACCACATTATGAGGAGAGCTGGTGGTACCTGTGCAGAAGCCAGTGCAATTGTGTATTCTAGTTTAGGTATTGTTGTGTTGTTTTTTCCTGATTTAAAGCCTACTTCAACAAATCATAGAATAAATCAACAGAATTTTGTGAAGAAGACAGAAAAGGACAGTTGATGATAGCAGATAGTACATCATGCAGTTGCTTTGCTTGCTATTGTTGATAATTGCAGAAAAACAACTAAGCCATCATATAGTTCCGTTCTCATTGGAAAAGAATTATTTTAAATCAATTTGAGGGAGGCCTTAACAGAACAAGTTAAGGTTAGGTATTATTTCCAAATATTCTCTGGCAACCTGCCTCAAAGGTATCTTTTAGAACAGGTTATAAAATGCATCCTTGACTTTTTCTTTTTTTAATTCTCTTTAGATTCTTGGCAGCTACAGCAGAGGAAATTTAAGTACTGAGAAATTTGTAGAGGAAATAAAATCAATTGCCAGTAAGCCTACTGAAAAGCATTTCTTCAATGTCTCAGATGAATTAGCTCTTGTAACTATTGTTGAAGCACTTGGAGAGAGAATATTTGCTCTGGAAGGTATGGCATTATTTAAGAATGTAATTCATGCCTGCATTACAACTGATGCAAATAGAAGACCACCTGCTTTTATCCTCCTTCACAATGTATTGTGCTGCATAAAATGTATTCTGCAGGTATTTTTTTCATGCTGATCATAAAAATATTTTACAACAGACATCAAAAACATAGATAATGATTTGAAATATATTCAGGTGGGTTAGAGCCTATGGACACAAGAGCCTAAAAAGGTAAATAACCACTACTGTTTCAGCTGAAGTAAACATGAAGTTGCCTTTCCTCAGGTAAAACATTGCCAGACCATATCCTTTTTACCCTTTGATCATATGTTCATCTGCCTATACCTTTTGGTTCTCTTTTTGGTTAGTTATTAATTATAGCATATTACTTCACTATACAAGGTAACATTGACTTGATGTATAGCGTTTACAAGATGTATTTTTCCTTTGGAAATATTCATAATACTCACATTGTAGCACAGAAAAGTCATTCTCATAATGTCTGCTTACATTCTCCATCCACTTAAGAGAATGCTGTCCAAATCTCTGTTTGTTTTAAACACACTACTGGTAACAGAAGACTCAGTTTATTAGCTATAAATAATACTGGACAGCTCTGAAGAGATTGTCATCATACATTCCAAGTAGCCGGAATAGCGTAGTTTACAGCTGGGATAAAAGATAATGTTGGCTTGAATGTCAAGAAATAGTACAAATATGAGAGAGTACTGTAAACTTTTTAAATTGGAGCTATATTTCTCAGACAAATTTAAGTATTTCTTCTACTGTATCATTTAGCTTGAGCAAATATTACTATTTTCAGCTGATGATTACTAAATATTTTTTCCAGTTTGTACAGTCTTATCTTTTTACTTTCTGAAAGATTTTGTTTCCTCTCCTTTGAAACAAATTAATTTGAGGAGAATGTAATCTCTCTGAAGCCCAAAGTTTAGCCTACTTAAGCTCACTGAGTAACTTCAAAGTTCATTGAATAGAAGGCTCTTTTGTTAAGTTCCTGGTTACTAAGAAGAATACACTTTCAGTAGAAAAATAATTGTTAAAAAAGAAATTGAAAACTTAGTCTTCCATTTGTGCTTTGTACTTCTAGAAAAGTGAGAGAAATCATTGTCTTTCATTCTGTGATTTGTAGAATAAAATTCATGAGTTACACCTATTAAATATAATGGATATAGAAAAAAATTGTCAATTAACTGCTGGTCATGTAAACAGACAGAGGATATAAATCCTAACATGACTGAGTTTCTGGTCATCAATGTACTCAAATTCAAGTTTTCATCCCGTAGCTCAACCCTTTGAAGAATCTGATGCCACTGGAAGAGACAGTTTCACTTTGCAACACGCTGCCTTGTCCCTTTCAGCAATCAATAGCCATAAGGTAGTGCCTGTCTGCACATGAAACCCCAGCTTCCAAATAGTGGAGTAAATTGTGCTGGCTTGAACTCCCTGCTGGTGGGGAATGCTTTATATTATGAGCTCTCACCCTTCCATTATCTTCAGTAATTCATTCCTCTAATCATAAGAAAAAATTGCAAAAATTTGACCATTAAACAAGTTCTGTAGCTTAATAAAGTACCCAAAAAATGTAGTTATGTTGACAGTGGTGAAACTAACTGTTTGATTAAATTGTGTAAATGTTATCTGTTTACACAATAGTCAGCTCTTGAGATGACTCATCCTCATCATGATGTACTTCAGTATTTTGGTACTTTAAGCATATTGTACTCCTTTAAGTATCAACAAGTTCTGCAAATACTCCTTAAATTCAGCTTTAATTTTCTGCAAAAGATGCAGTAACAAATACGTACTTCTTAGATATTATTACATTTTATTTAACATAAATGTGTTATAAACTGTTAGGATATTTGTGCCTTGATATATTTGCCTTCATTTTAATTTTTATTGTATATAGACTTGACTGTATTACAAACATATATATTTGAAACAAAAAATGTGGAAAATTATTTTTCATCCATACCATAAAAGACAAGCTAGGTAACTTTACTACTCCGAAAAGGCTTCTTGACTTCCATATTTTCAGTAGGAACTCAGAGATGCCCTAAGATTTGCCTATAAGACACTTGTGATATGAGACAAAAATGTTGCTTTCTCAACCTGTGAAAGTCTCAGAAATCACATAATCTGGCTGCAAGGGAATCAGAATAGAAACCGAAAATGGGATCTTAACTTTTTGTCAGAATATAGCAAGGTTGAGTTGCTCTAGTGGGTTGGTAAGGCTGGAGCTGGAAGATGCTAAATTGGTTTCTGTTGATTCTTTAGGCATGGTTTTCTGTCCCCTCCCAAGCCATTTCAGGAGCTGGTCTAGATTTGCAACTGTGTCCATGGATGATTTTTTGTGGTGGGGGAGATAAGCAGATTAATTCTGATGACAGTCTGGTTTACTGAATGTGTGCAATGTGGAAAAGATCAATTAAGCCCAAACATTGCAGTTGAATTAACTTCTGTACATAACATGGAGGCTACAGGAACCTTGATTCTTGAAATTCTGTATCTGAATCAGTTTAAATTCTCAATGTAAATAGCCTCTTGCTAGTATAGTAATACATTGGATTATTTATTTTTCTTGAATTTCTTGTTTTCTTTTAGTTTTGGCCTTTTAGAAAAAAGCAAAGGAAAATTGAGAGAGAGTTGAAAAATCAAATCCAACAAAAACCCATACTTGACAGCCAGTGGATTTTTACACATAATCATTTTCATATGCTTCTGTGCCTCATGGCATGGACTTCTGGTTTTAACAGCAATTTTATGTTTTCTCCATGTTGTAGGCAGGCACAAAATTTTTTTCACAAAATATCCTTTGTAGGATGCTCAACGGTTTGAAACTCAATGGAAAGTTAGACTGAGGGCCATTATCTAAGCAGTATTCAGAGCTGCACACACCAACAGTACCGGCATTGTCCTCTGCCTCAGGCTGAGAGAGTCCTGTCTTTCTCAGCTCATTAAGGAGCATCCTTTACTGCATGAAAATATTGTTTTTCTGCAAATGTGCAACTTAAAAGTTTTATTTTTAAAAGGACTTTGTCAGACTTAGCAAAGCAGCTACATCTTGTGAAACATGATGACCTATCTTTGTGTGTCTAACATTTTGTGTTTGAGATCACATCTGCTTCATATGACAGGTAATAAATCCCAACAATTAGAAAAGACATTATGTCCCAGGGAGAAATCTTTGTGGTTTAGTTGCTGAGTATCAAAAGTTCAGTATTCTTTAATAGTCCAGATGCCTGAAATTCATGCAGCCATGGCTTGCTATGCCTCAGTTTCATTCACACAGTTGGAGCTCTCAGCTGGTAGCAAATTTTGAACTCTTTCTGGACAAGCATCAGGGCAGACTTCATAGTTCCCCTCTGCTGTCCATTACCATATCTTGCTCTCAAGGAAGAATGAATATGCAGAATATTGTTACCTAACATGGCCACTTAAAGTGGCAAAATAGTTCTTGAGTATTGCTTTAAGTTGAGGAAAAAGCAGACCTTTTTCTTCCCTGATGATATTTCAAGTGTACCTGGGAGCAAAGCAGTGCATCGGAGTTTAATATGTAGCATATGACTACCTGACAAGATACTGAAACTAGTACGAAATCACCTGATACCTTTTTTATTTGAAGTCACTTAAGAGAATCAGGAAGATTTTCTTCTAACTTTCTGGGTAGGAGTATAGTTCCCAACAACTTCTCTGAGGCTTATGAATCTTGCACAGCTGAGATTTTCCTGGTTTTGTTTTTTGGTTTTTGTTTTTGTTTTTTTGCAAAGGTTCATACAAACATCAAGTGTTTTTAATTTAAAATTCCTCCAGCTGCCTACAAATTTTTAGTTGCTTGAATACAAGGCCAGGGTTACATGGCTGGTGTTTTATTGTTCATTTAGCTCAACTGGAAAATGGCTTAACCATATTAATCAAACATTCCAAACATATTTACCATCAACCTGAGGTCAAATCTGGTCAGTTTTACCCCAGAAGTATTGTTGGTCAAGTTCTAGGACATGATCTTAAAATGGAAACTCTCATACTTAATCGTAGTATTTAACATAGATCTTAATCTTTGTATTTATTATAAAAATTTATGGCAAACTCTTTTCACTGACTATTCTAGTTTGCTATCTCTTACTATCATATGAGCATTTTCATTACACTATTCAGATACTTTTTCAGATTGAAATTAATTTATTTTTGTTGTGTTTAATAGCAACAACAGACCAGCAGGCTGCCTCGTTTGAAATGGAAATGTCTCAAGCTGGTTTCAGTGCTCATTATTCTCAGGTAAACAAAGTGTTTGAAAATAGAAGTTCTTTTACAAAATAGATTTTTGTTGTTGATGGCATGAACTTGGAATGAGTGTTTCAGAATTCTTTCTACAGTCCTGTTTGCTGTTGGAAGTTTTGAAGTTTTCTGTAATCCAGTTTGTTGTTTTTTTTTTTAAATGTGTGTAAAGAATAATCATGAACAATGAAAGTTTAAAGAATAAATACCTTATTGACTTGAGTGCTAAATTTAATACTCCCATAGCACTTTCTATCGAGAGAATATTTAATAATATAGACTTTCTACCAGGTCCTGTAGTGACAGAACAAGGGGCAACAGTTTTAAAGTGAAAGAAGATGGATCTAGGTTGGATATAGGGAGGAAATGTTTTATGATAAGGGTGGTGAGATACTGGAACAGGTTGCCCTGTTGATGGATTTCACCCCCCCTGAACACTGTTCAAAGTCAGGTTGGATGGGAACAATCTGATCTAGTGCAAGACTTCCCTGCCATGGCAGTGGGATTGGACTAGATGATCTTTAAAGGTCTCTTCCAACTCAAACTATTATATGATTTTATGAACTATAAAACTGTTCTCTCTAAATATTAATGTATAGACTGATACTGCATTGTATTGATGAAATTGGGACAGAAGATGTATAAAAAGGTTATTTCTGTCATGGATATGATCTGCACTACTAGTAACACAGCATACTCTTAGCTCTGTTAACACATGGAATACTCAGTTCTCAGCAGGTATTTTTTAAACTGGGATGCAAAAATCCCTGGGAATTTGTATTAGCAGAAAATCACTCCCTATGTATTTTATTTATTCATGAAAAATCAAAAAGTATCCATTGCAATGATCTGCTCAGTGTACACAAATGAAATTAAAATTTAACATGAGATCAAAAGAACTGGGAAGACTTAAGCTTTAAAGATATGAAAAAGTAGTGACAGTGGAAAAGAGCACAATATGGAGAGTAACTGAACTGAACATCAGGCAATACAAGACAAACTGCTGTACATAGGAGAACCTTCAACATGGCTTTGTATACAGCTCAGCATATCACTGGTAGAAAGAGAATAAAATATCTTCAGTAAATAAGTAAATAAATACTTTATTGCAGAAGTACTCTCTGTTTATTTTTGCTCTCTGCACTACATTACACATGATGCTTCAGATAGTGTATCGTTCCCTAGAAACAAGTATTATCCTGATAGGGAGCATAAGGCTTATTTATAAGAACATCTATTTGGTAGAGCATATTCTTCAAGTTCACAAAAAACTGACCTGCTATCATCAGGACCTCACCTCAAAAATGAGTCTTCAGTCCTTGGTGCATTGACAGACTCTGGATCTCTGGTGTCTGTCTTATCTAGGAGGCTACGTTCATGCCTTTAGGCATGAGAGGTCAGCAAACCTCTTCTCATTGACAATGAGATACAATATACAGAAGACTCAAAGATTCAACAGAGAAAGGTTCAAGTTTCTGAAAGTTTGTTTGAGAAATGCATTTAAGTGTTGTATTCTCTGGTTAGCTTGGCTAAATCCCTTTTGTCTTTCTATCTGGCCGGGAATGGTGGGTTATAGTTCTAGGAGCTGTGTTTCATTCTGTTGCTTTTCTTGAATGAACCATTACCCAAATGTGAGCATCATGATCAATGAACATCTAAAGATAGTTCGTATAGAGAACAGGCTTTTTATTTTTCTCTTCATAAGGATTGGATCATGCTTGGAGCAGTTGGAGCATATGACTGGAATGGCACAGTGCTCATGGTGAAGGACACTGCTGTTTCAATGCCAACTAATGACACTTTTCGTGACAGGCATTCAGAAAGAAATGAACCCCTTGCAGCTTATCTAGGTAAGAGAAATAGCCCACCCCATCTTATAACACTTTTCAACAAATGCTACAAGACATCTCTCAAATTTCATTCTCAAAGAGTATCTTGCAGAGTATCATATTCTAGGAGCCTAGCAAATTTATAATGTATGGACATGTCTACTGTATGATTTTCTTGTGTTTTGTTTTTGTTTTTTTTTAAATACTACTTCTACAATCAGAAAAAGTAGTCCAAACACAGACCTAAGTATATCTAGACTTCTGCAATAGAGATGTCTAATCTGTTCAGAAAAGTTTCACTAATTCCTCTCGTATTCTTAATGAGTTGTTCTATGCCTTGATAGTTAAAAAGTTTTATATACTATTAAGTCTAAATCTTTATTTAAAATTAAGCTGATTTCTGACACTCAATGGACAAGGACAACAGTTTACCACTATATTTTTTATAATAATGTCTTTTAAATTGGCATGCTATTGTTTTCCTCTCAGCATTTTCTACCAAGAAGCATCAGTGGCCTTGCTCTTTCCTCTAGGTCTTGCTTTCTACACTTATTGTTCTGTGTTATCTCATTTAAGCCACATTTTCACTAATGAAGAGTCAACACTAAAATAATTTCATTTCACTTTCTGTCATCTTTTTGGAATGCCATTAACTATTTTTTTAATATCTCA